GAACTGATCCTCTGTGAGGATAGAGGAATTTTTCTCTTTGCCCCAGGGCAAGCAGGACGGCCTTAAAAATTTGATGTCTTTGCTTGCCCTGAGGGCGTGCAACACCTTAAGGCGCAAGGCCCCGAGGCCGTCTAGAGGCGTTTTCAAAATACGAAAACACGCTGCTAGAGCACCTAGAGCAGAAGATGTCCGCATCATTTGTTTCTATGACGCCACCGCCAGTGACGGATGATTCTCCCGTCCTAAATCGATCATGGTGAGCGTTACGGTCGTTAAGGGGAAGGATGGAGAGAATCTCCTGCTCTGGATGAGAGAGGTCGACATGGCTATCGCATCCGCCATGCTCCAAACCAAATAACAGCTCGTGGCGCTAGCCATCTCAGAGCTCGGTGGTCGAGCGCGAGAAGGGGCACTGACGTGCGGCACTTCGGTCGAAGCTGCGTTTCCCTCCTGGGCGGAGCTGAATTTGCAGCTCTCACGAGTGTTCTCGCCGCCTAATCAGGCATATCGGGAGCAATCAAGTTTCTTTGCTGCCCAACAGGGCAGAAAGAATTGGTGGACTTTGTCCAAAAGAAGCGCACTCTCATCGCCGGGGTGGCTGCAGATCCCCCTTCGGGGGGCGGTCACAGTGACCGTCTTCATGGAAGGCCTCCGCACTGGCGTGGCCAGAATAGAAGTCCTCCGTGTGCATCCGTCTTCGTTCGAAGTGGCGGTGAATGTGGTATTGAATGCCGAATTCAATTTCATGTCGGCACGAGTTGGTTGGAATGCACACTCCAACAGCTCGTCGAGCGAGCCTATGCCCATGGAACTCAGCTATCCTGAGAACGAGGGAGCAGAGCTCCGAGCTGCCGGGCGGCATACACACATTCGATGGTATTTTTTCTGTGGCGACACCCGTCACCTTCGGAACGAGTGCCCCCTACGCAAGGCGCGTCAAGGTTCTTCAAACCATGACCCCAATGCCTACTAGTCTGGTTCGCGCGGGAGAATACACCACTCAGCTGGCGCGGGGCGACCTACTGGGGAAGAACTGGGTTCTGTTGAGCCTCAGGGAGGCATTGGTCAGCAGGGCCCAGCCCCGAAGAGCTCCGCGCACTTGAACACGGATCGTGTATGCAAGCCGGGCTTGCTGGTCGTGAAGGCGACCGTGAAGGACTATGAAAGGTCATCGAAGACCCTCATTGATTCCGGGGCGTCGGGCAACTATGCTCGACGTTCCACGATGGAAGGAAGTCAGCTGTATGCTGAGGCGCTGAAAGCGCGGTTGGG